TGTTGACTAAACATGAACCTGATACATGATATTTCTGCAAAATACAATATAAATTATATTTAAAGACTCATTTAAGAAATATTTAGAGATGAATTAGTCAATAAGTAAACACTGCTATACAAAAAGCACATACTCGTATAAACAATTTGAATCAATTTATTATTTGAATAACAAATAATAGAAATTTTAGACTCAGAAGTTTGTCTAACTCGATTGAGTCACAGCTAATTCGTGAAGTACGATGTCTCCAGTTATTTTAAGGGTATCGACAATAGACGGCTGTAATCTGTGTTTAAATTCACCAATCATTTTGTCGCCTAACCATATCGTGTACGCTTCCATTTCGCATCGAATTCTGTGAAAGGAAAATATAAATTAAGTCCCACATAAGTTTTTTCTTTTAGTTCTTTTTAAGAGTAAGAAAACCTACGTTAGAAGGAAATCACGACCAGGCATCCAAGATAAATGACCCTGATGTCTTTCTTCTTGTCCCCAAGACCCATTTTTCCAACAGTTCATTACAACATATGGTGCGATACTACCATAAAAAAAACGAGGATTTAAATGCAAAGCAATTACAGGATGTGGGTAGACTGCTTTTCCTTTCTGTACGTTTACGTAAAACCTATCATAAAATAGACAAAAAATTTTATTATTTTTTTCATATTTGAAATCTTTTTAATTTAAAAAATTTCTAGAAACTCACGAATGAGGAAGTAGTTTCAGTCTTCCAGCAATGAAAATTGTCATTCCTGTTTTCAATTCAGTTTCTATATCTACTGTAACTGGAACACCCTACATATAAACATTTAAATGAGGACCAATATTTTAACAAATAAAAGATAGGTATAATAGTCAGAACTTACAAGAAAATCGACAAGAGGTCGATCGACTTTTAAACTTAAAACATTACTTGGTCTGCATAACTTCGGATCGGGATAAACGAATAATCCGAATTGCCTAAATCTAGTGTCTTCCAATGAACCATTGATTTCTAAGTTCGTCACATCTTCGAGGGGCATTCGATACGCAAATGCGCAAAAATGTTCTCCATTGATCGCAATCTAATAAAAGTAATATCAAAAAGTATCACTCCCATAAAATTTACAATAATGACGAATAATTTTTAGTTCTTACTTGAAATTCATTGGCAGTACAAAAAATCAAAATATGGGTATAAGAGTTTCGCCGGAAGGCAGTGTGTCCTGCTGGAGAACAGGTTTCTTCCTCTTCCCAGCATCCCTTAAATTTCGTATTTCGAACGACATAACCTCTATCCAATCGCACATTGAAATGTAATGCGATATTTCCGGAAGCTTTAGACAATAAATTCACTGAAAACCTGCAATATTTATATTTTATCGAATTATTTATATCAAATTGGAATATATCACACTGCACTACAATTGCCAATCATAATTATTCTTTTTTTTTTATGATTTTTGAAATTCATAAAAATTTCAGTTATAAGATTTTTCTTACGATAAGATATCACCTCAAGGCATCAGGAGGAATGTAGCCTGTAACCACGATAGCTGATGTTGGTTTTAGAGATTGTAATGGAACCGGACTTGAAGCATTCTGAAATAATGTACATGCATATAATTAGTCAAGATCAAACAAATGTTTTGTTAATACTTCTGTAATAGAAGATGTACTTCTGGTCCACCCAATGTATAGCATAAGTTCACCTTCTTTGAATGAATTTTAATTGTAGATTACGTTGATTTATACTTTCGCATAATTTATAATTATCAGAGTTTTATATTTTAGACAATACAAAATGTATGTGCATCACATTAAGATAATTCTAATGAACTTTCATTGAATTGTGAAAAGCCGTCGACTATTTTAATTTTGAACCTGGTTTGAGCGCGTAGTGTATCGGTTCAACTTCCATGTACCGAGTACTCCGATGAAATATCAGTCTCATAAATGAAATATTTTGTTTTAATAAAAATATTTCAATTAAGACAAGGAATAATAGCAAAATAAGGAAAGAATACGGATAAATGTTGGGAAATTGTACATATAAACTAGTAAGAGTCCGTATGCGAATCCTCGACATTAGTCGCCATGGAATACATTTTACTACTTATGCAGGTATTTATCTTCATTTTCTTTTAATGTAAAATAACCATTTACGACTTTACTTGAATCTAAACAAAAACGAAAGATAAGATTTAAAAAGCTCTTTTAAAACTTCTTATTAACTTCTAACCTGAATGTACTTCCGTTCAACAATTTTGTTCTGATAGTAAAACTTATTTTGTTGGTGAAACTTCTTCAAAAACGCATAAAATAAAAAAATGTACAATTTCGATTAATGTAGGTAATGCAGGTTTGATAATCAACGAAGACTTGCACAGAATTTCGGTTCCAATTCGTAGTTTATTAAAGGTTGATCATAATTAACATGTGCAGTTGTTTATCAATTTTATCACACACTTTTTATTAATTGATAGTTTTTTTCGGTAATAAATCTATTACAGCATTCAAATACAAAGGAAAATAGACATCTGAATGCAAAAAAATTGAAAGAACTATCAAAACATTTATAATGTTACAAAAACTTCGAAATATTTTGTGCATAAAATAATGTAAGCAATGAATAAGCTATAAATGTCAATAAAGTAGTGTTTTTAAAAGTAACGAATGTAATATTCAATTAATACATATGTATTTAGAACTGCACAATTGTACACGCACAGTTATTTAGACAGATAAATCGGACTAATAGAGGCCTATTTAAAGAATGTGATATTAATTGAAAATAATTGACACTTTAAATGATAAACATCGAATTAGACAGAGTATTAATTAGCTAAATGCAATATTTGTTGTTAAATGCTAACTAAATTCATCTGTATTATAATATAGCAAGTTGGGTTTGGTTAGAGGAATAGGTTAGATGCAAATAGTAAAATTTTCAATTGGCAAATCTACATATGCGTTATCTATGGCGTAAATACTTATATTACCGATCGATACTCACTAACGGCACTGTATCCTCGTCGACAAACGAGAATTCTCGAAGAGCGTTTTCTTTTGTTTGCACGAAAATTTCATCTTGATTTACAGACATGCTCTCTGATAAGCTTGAGGAATGATTTATTGGAACATTGCCTTATTTCAAGCCGCATTTTTGTGTACGCGATTTCATTTTCTATTTACTTTTGATTGGAAATGCATATTGATTCAATTGAAGACACGTATTTAAAAGGACGAGTTAAATCGTCTATTTTAGTAAAAGAAATGTTTAGGGTGTATTGCAATAATTGCTTTGATGAAAAAGTAAATTAAAATGTTTAATCAACGTCTGTTTTATTGAGTTAAATATAAACAAGAATTATGTCTCTCAAAATGTAATAATTTTTTTGCAAAACTTGACAATAAGCATTTTGCAACACTAGTAACCAATACTAGTAAACATTCGTACGCTGTAAATAGTATTAAATATATAGTTAAATAGTGATAGTAATATCATGATGGAGAATTCGAAGTTTGAAATAAATACTATATATATCTATATTTTTTTTATCGAGTTTCAAAATGTTTCAATTAGTTAACAATCAATATACTCATTATTCTTTTTATCTTCGTTGCGGTTGTCTTATTTACAAGTAGAAAAATACAAGTAAAATCATTTCTGAAGCTCCTATTACTTTTTTTCGACTAGACTGTTTTATATATATTTTTTGAAGAGAAGTTTCCATAG